ATAATGAAAAAGGCATTAAAGGTGTTTTGGAATGTGTGCGGAAAAGCTCGTTTTTTTCTTTGCCTTTTTCAGTTATTTGCATCTCTTCCAAAGTGAAAATAGAACATTCCTTCTTAAAACGTCTTAAGTCTCTTCTAAGTTCAGAAACCAAACTGCTTTTAGTGAGAGCAGTAAAATCTTCTTTGACGCTTGCCTCTTTGCTGTGAACTTTTGAAAGAAACTGTCGTGATACACAGGCCTGGGTGCAGAGCTCAGCTGGGTCCTGCCTGCACGTTGGAGCAAGAGTCACCGTTCAACATCTCTCCCTCTGCTTCCCCCAAGCACCCTCACTTCCAACAGGAGACCCGTGATGCTCTCTGGGAAGCATCCTTCAATCCAAACTCTTGGCTGCATCGCACGGTGTAGATGCAGGCAGTGAAAGTGTTTGTACCTCATGCAAGAGGGTCCTGTCATCCTTTAGTCCTAGTCTTACAAAACGTTTGTCCATAATTGTCTAAGTAAGAAAGAACAAAGTGTCTTTTTTAGATCTTGAGGCAAGTTGTGGGACCAGTGGTTAAAAAAATGAGCACAACCGAGACACCGTTGTGAGACGCTGCTCTGTTCTCCCGTAGAGTAACTCGTTTTGCTGATCTCAGATAATCCTGCTACAAAAAATAGCTTTAAAGAGAGTTAAGTTGCTGCACTGGTGTTATCTGAGGCAAGGTGGAGCAAGTAAGATGAACTGATTAAAGGTTCACTTTGTAATTTTTATAACAGCAGCACCAATCACACCGTGATCTCTGAGCTGTGTGGTCTCACTAGTCTTTGTCCACGATTCTGATCTTTTACTGTCAATGGAAAATACGGAAGGGAGTGATGGAGTCATTGCGCTTTCTCTGATTCACGCTACAATAATTGAAATCGGAAGTTGAGGTCGTGTGGATCAGTAACCCCCTCTCATTACTTTGTGTTGCACTTCCAACATTTATGCGCACTTCAATGCTTTCTAATTTGCCGCCACCTACAAAGTAAAGTACCCAGAAAAGCAAATGAGGCAATTTTAGATTTTTGCCTGTTTTAGATCTTACACAACTGGACTCCAGGTCTGGGAAGTTACTTCAGAGTTACAGCAGCGTACAGGACTAAGAGCCTGTCCTAGCTAAAGCATACCCTGCTGGGTGCCCTTCTGTTTATAATTTCCTTTTTAGTATAAATTGAGAAACATTTCATGTGCTTGGTAAATAAAATGCTTGTTTGACTTCTCCACCCTCCCCACAAGGAAATGTCTACTAAGGCATGACATCTCTTACAAGCTGCCGTAATATCTTCTGAACCACTTTCAGAGAAACAGGAATCCTTGCTGTTTCTATCTGTAGTAATAATTTACAGGTAGAGAAACTGATAAAGTAGTAAGATCTTCTTTAAGACTGTTGTACAAACAAAAACACTTGTCTTCTCTGTTTCTTTAGAACTTATCGAGCTGTAGTGCATGTTCCGTGCCATGGTATGTGTATTCTAGCAAGACCTCCAGAATTTATCTTTTAATAAAGCTAGGCTTTTATTACATTACAAAGTTGATGAAATTTTTGTTGCTAGAGAAGAAGAATACTGAAACAGGAACCTGCTGGCTTTTTTAACCTTTTGCTGTAAGGAAATGTGCCTTTCTCCATTTGATTTGAAAAAGGAAATAGACTGGTGGCGTGGCTATGGAACTTTCTCTTTCTGCCTCTGATTGCAAAAGTGCTAGTGAAAGAATGAAAAGAAGAAGTACAGTATTGAACAGTAGAATATTATGGCTTTGTTGAGAGAACAGAACGAAAGTCTAACTGTGCTGTTTGTTTTGTTTCAGGTGTCAGAAACTATTTGAAAGAAGCTTTAGTGAATATCATTGCTGTGCACGCAGAGGTGAGAAAAACTTCAGATTGTTTCAGGCTTACATTCATATCAATAATTTCAGTGAACTTTGCATGGTGAATCCTGGCTTCTGAGTCCTCTGTTGAAGTGTCTTCATTACAGATGCAAGTGCTTTGGGTTAGTTTTAGCCGACCAAGTATACAACTGCTAACTTTTTTAAGGCCAGAAGGAGATGAACAACAGTTCCTGTTTATCCTCTGTAATGCTCCATTACACCTTGTTTTTTTCTACTGTCTGATGAAGAGGAAAATCCAAGTCTAAAGCTCAATTCTTCCCCTTGGACAGAGAGATACGATGCTTATTTTCTCTGATTAACTTTATTTTCCACAACATATGAAAATGAGCTTGTTCTTCACTCAGAGTGAAAAGGCAACATTTGTCATTTTTGTACATAGGATAAAAAAAGTGGGAACTTAAACCGAGAAAGATTTATAGTCTCTGTACAGCGCAAATTGGTTTTGAAATACTTAGGTAGATAATGGCTTATGATAGGGAGTGCATATTAAAATTAAAATATTACAAAAATAATATGCTTGCAGAGCTGCAGTTATTTGGCCTTTCGTGACAATATGCAGGAATTTTCTATAGTCCTTTAAATTACAACCTCAGTTCTACATACTCCTTCCTTCTAATCATCAAGAGCGTTAGCAGATTACTGTTGCTCCTTGTACAAGCATTGGTAGTAATACCACTCTTACCTTACTCTTAATATGGGTAGTAATATCTCTCTTACCTTTCAAAATACCCCAAGTATAGCTGCTCTACCTTTTCCATCTACTTAAAATCCGATGAGATTCACTTTGGTTTGTGTTTATTTTATTCCTCCTTAAATTACAAGGATTCCGAAAATATTTTCAGAAACTTCTTTAAATATCACTTGCAATATTTTTGATTCAATCTCAGTATTTACTCCTAGCAGTTTTCACAGAAGCATTGCTGATTTTATCACATGCTTCCAACTGAGGGAATGCATGACACCAAAAATACGTACCAACATGACAGTCGTTTTTAATGTTTGTTTTTCAGTGTAGTGGAAGTTAATAAAAATGAAAATGAGAGGGTTTGCTTTAAAAACTTCAAAGGCATTTGTGACTTGTTGAGCTCGTCTTGTAAACATGCGTACTCGTTCAAATGCTGCCGCAGAAAGGTGCACCGCCTTGCTGACTTCATTGAGACCGATACTGATTTTGGCCCAAATAGTGTTGCCTCATAAATTTCTAGACGTGAAATATTACAGAAATATGAAAACGTGTGTCAAGATGAAACTCCCATTTCCACTGTTTTCTGGTGAAATTCTGTAAGCTGGGTCAGATTTAAGTTTAGTTAGCAAGGCTGCAAGTTTCTGTAGTTTGAAACAGCAAAAATTAACCATCAGCTGAACAGCGAGCACAGGCTGAAGTGGAAAGAAATTTGTCTCTCTACCTTTGAATTCAAATTTAACTGAAATCAAAATAAGGGCTTCTTATTGCAGATTTGTAATGATTCACCGTTGCTGAGAATTTTTTTTTTTCCTGGATTCTGTATAGTAACTTCAAGAGTGCTCGTTGTGGGCACAAATATTCTCTTCTCAGTAGCAGGTTTTTGGGTGTGTTCCTGGTATGCTTGTGTTGAATTGCTCAGCAGTATTGGGTGCTGAATAAGATGACCCCTTCCCAAATCGTTACTGGTTTGTTGTTTTTTTTTCTTACCGTACAGCTAAGTATGTCACTTTCTTAGCTTTTGTGGGTCAAAACAGTTAGAACAGGCTAAATCAGCAATGATAACAGCTGACACGTCTGTGGTCAGTGTGCTTAGCCTATGGTGCAGCCCTGCCTTTTGGAACAATCTGCTTTATGGGATCCCTGGTACATAATTCATTACTTAAATCACTGAAAACTGTGTAGGAATCTTACATTCTTCTCTTTTTTTCCCCTTAATTTACTTTTACACGCTTGTAATGAATATCTCCTGTCAATTACTGCATTTCCTTGCCAGACATGAGATCTAAACTCCATGTAAAGCAAAAGTATTCTAGCAAAAAATCATTCAACTCCTTAATTTTTTAGATCATTTTAAAGCAGAAATCAGGGAGGGGCAAGTGTTTAAAAACCCTATGCAGTTCATTTTCCTTCTTGCACCACTCTAGTCGCATCATCTTCAGTTCCTTGTGTCATCTTCTCCCCCAACCCTGTGCAGTTTTGGTGCAGCTTTATCATTACTTTTAAGTCTTGACACAAGTTTGGCCTGCCTAACCTATAATCTCACTTCCTCCTATATTCCAACCTCTTGGCCAGCATTTTCCTCAATTGTGTAGAAAAATCATACTTTTTTTTTTTTTTTTAATTCACCAACAATTTCTCGCTTCCTTAAAGCTCCCTTTAAGGAAGATCGATTTCTTCATGCTTTCCTTCAGGCAATGTTTAATGTCTAATGTTTAATGTCTAATGTTTAATTTTGTGTTGCTGTTGTGCTGCAGTTGTTATTCTGAACCTCAAATGAAGGATCCAAGCACCACTTTAATGAAGTTGTACAGATAAGCAGTTAAAAAGATGGTCTTGATGCATGGAAAAAACAGTAAAGTGGAATGTTTTTTACCAGGGAACTAATAAATGGTAGCAGTGGAGGAATCTAAATGAAAATCCGTTACGCCACTGTGCTCAAACCCTTTCAAAGGCTTATCTCTGCCACAGAGCATAAAGACACTAGCTATTTGACAGTGGTCAAATATAAAGTATTCTAGAAGAAACAGCAAAATACATGGGTAAAAAGTGACTGAATGTGTAATTGGGTCAGTCAGTCACACAGCCCTGAATGAAAGGTGCCATCTACGTGACAGCAGTCTGTGTTCAACCACCTGACTACCTGCATTCATCAGCTGAGAGCACGTATTTTGAAGTCTAGCTGCTTTTAGGCATTGCAGGAAAGTTGCCATTATAGCATATCACATAGCTAACATTGCTATTAACAGAGGTGATTGGTCAAAGCACAGGGCGAGCATCAAAAGAAATCCTTCATATTCCAGTTGCTTTGAAATTATTTTGTCCATTGATAAAAACAAAGTGGTCCTTTCAACCAAAGTGTTTAATACTTTTTACTGAAACGTTACCGTAGAAAATATTTCTGTTAATATGTGTTCATGATTCTTCTTTCATAAAACCCAGGTGTTTACCATTTCCAAAGACTTAGTTCCTCGTGTAATGTCAAGAGTTGTAGAAGCAGTCTCTGAAGAATTGAGCCGACTGATGCAGTGTGTTTCATCCTTCAGCAAAAATGGAGCTTTACAGGTACCAGAACACTTTGTACTGTCAAACATCTGAATCTAGAAAACTGAGAATAACAGAGAGAGAGACGATCTGTGTATTTGTTGGATTTATTGTAGCAGTGAAAGCAAGGAGATAAAAAGGATTAGAATACAACTTATTTTGGATTTATATCATTTGGGACACTGGTTCTTGGATTTGATTATATTTTAGTGTTGTCTTTGTGTCTGAGGGCATAAAGGTTACCTATATCCTATGAGATAAAAAGCATCATAATGGTTTCTGTTTGGAATGTCGTTAAATACTGTCTTTGGTCTGTCCTCAAAAAATTATTTTAAAAGAAAAGACAATTTTGTGATATTTTGAGATTTAAAAATCTTGAAAATATGATCTTGCAAGTCTTTGCAAAACTAGTCACTTGTCTGTTACACTATTTCTACGTTAGCACTTCGTTGCAGTGTGGGTAGAACAGTTACTCTTGCACTGCCTTCGTTTATGGCTCGATTGGGAGTTGTACTGGTATCCTGTTGGATAGGTTTTAAAGAACTCTAAGAAAAAAATCTTTTTAAAAGAAATCCCTTTGCGTCAATGGCTGCAACAGGCAAGAAGAGCAAACTCCCAATTTTCATTGTACATGACAGAATTCTTGCATTATGATGGGAAAATAATTACCCAGTTGCAAGCTTTCTTTTCCAATTGGTGGAAGTAATTGCATTGGACAGAGAATTAATGTAGGAAGATCACAGCCAAATAAGACTGACTGCCTGTTTAAAACCAAATCAATGAATAGCAACAATGCTACCCATATATCAGTTTTGTTTGACTAGGCAACCGACCATATGAACTTGCTGCCTAAACCCATAATTGAAAGGATTTTCTCTCTCTTCTGTAAATTTGCCACTCGTGGTCATTTTCTGTTCCTCTGAACACATGAAATCTTGTCTGGCAGACAGCAGCAGTGTGAGAGTGGTCTGAACCTGGACAGACTGATCAAAAAATACTCACTCCTGAAGAGAAGCCTGAATCTGTATTCCCACATCCCATGACCCACAGTTTTTCAGGATTTGCCCTTCCACCATGTTTATTTAGGCTGTGGTACGTGAGAATGTGACACTTCCCCACGGTACTGCTGCCTCCTAAAATGTTGGCAAGACTCCAGAATCTTGTGTGTAGGACTTCAAAAATTCCAAAGCTGTTCAGCTTGGAGCACCATACTAAGGCGAAACGTTATGTGATGAGAAAAGCATTTCTTACAAGTATAAAATTGATAGGAGGCTGTGTTGTATTTTGTGCCAGAAAGTTCTGGCGCTAAAAAAGCATAAATCTCAGCTGGCTTCCTACCTAGGGGAGGGATGAGAGGAAGACCTAAAAGCCAAAGCCTTTCAGTAGAACTGGAATTAGATGTCTGTGTTGCATTATAAAAAGTTTTGTTTTGGAAGATTAATGTCATATGAGTTGAGTCTAAATGTAGATCAGTTTCTGTAATGGCTAACTGGATTAAATTTTATCTTTTGATGAACAAGAATGGAATATGAACTTGGATGAAGTTCACTTTATATTTTTAAATGAAAAGACTTAAAGTAGTGATGACATGCAGAAGATCTCTATTTCATATAAAACCTGTGATGATAATGGTTGCTTTTCAAAGACTAAAGGACGATCTGTGAAATTTGTTTAATCTTTGAGTTCATTCTCCACCATACCCAGACACACAATACAATACAGGAGTAAAGTCCCCAAGCTTGTGTGCCCACCAGGTGACAGACAAGAAGCAGAGCACAACCATTCTACTTCCTCATCTGATGGAAAAAAAAATAAATTCAACAGAAAAAAAAAACAATAAAATGTGTATTGACAAATTTCTTTACTCTTGTTTCCTTCCTCTCTGGCCAAGCCATGCTGTGAGAAGTTAAGCTTACTGTATTTATAAAAAAAGAAAATTAAAAAAGATAAAGACAAATTAAGGTAGCGTCCTTCTGTCTTTCTATCACAGTACAGAAGAGATGGAACAGAATTGAAGATTTATTACTGTTACTGAGAGGCAAACCAGTGTTTTTAGACTGCTACATAGAGACCGTACAAACAGTTTGACTTGAATCAAAAGTATGAAATTGTTCCTTTTAGCAGTCTCCTGACATAGCAGCATGGCAACCAAAAATACAGGAAACAAACTGTTACAAGCCAGGGCTGCTTACAACTATGGTATGCAATAATATTAATATTTGCCTCTAAAACAGGATGAAGCTTTGGGATACTGGTATTCGCTTGATGAAAGGACATTGTGTCATCGTTTCAATATTTGTGTTTTTGTCTTTAGGCAAGACTTGAAATCTGTGCATTGAGAGATAGCGTGGCCATATACCTCACACCTGAGAGCAAGTAAGATGTGCTGT